TGCGGTGGGGGTGCGGGGCGGGTCTGGTACTGGGAGGACCGTGAACTCTATGGTCCCGTGCGGGTGTTGGGGGTGTGTGGGGGATGTACGGATGTGTGTGTGTGGAGAGCATGTGTGTGAATTGGTGGGGTGTAGGGAGTGTGCGTTTGTGTTTGTTGGGTTGTATGGGGTGTAGGAGGTTTGTGTGAGTTGGTGGAGTGTAGGGATTCCGTGTGTGTTGTTGGGTTGTACAGAGTGTAGGCTGTGTGTGTGAGTTGGGGTGTAGGGAGTGCATGTGTGTGTGTGTCGGGTTGTACGGAGTGTAGGGGGTGTGTGTGTGGAGTGTGTGCGTGTGAGTTGGTGGGGTGTAGGGAGTGCCTGTGTGTAGTTGAGCTGTACGAGGTGTGTGTGTGATTTGGTGGGGTGTAGGAGATGTGTCTGTGTGTGTGTGTTGGGTTGTATGGGGTGTGTGTGTAGAGTGTGTGATTTGGTGGGGTGTAGGGTGTGCGTGTGCGTGGTTGTTGAGGGTTGTAGGAGTGTGTATTGGGTAGGTTGTGTGCGGGTGTGCACAGGTGTCTATGGGCTGTGAGGCTGTATGTGTCAGTGGGGTGTATGAGGGTGTGTGTGTGTTGAGGTTGGTTGTAGGGTTGTAAGGGCTATGTGCTTGCGAGGAGTGTGTGTAAGTGGGGTGTTGAGTTGAAGGTGTTGCTGAGGTGTGTGTGTCTGAAGAATATGGGTACCCTTTGTAAGTAGGGTGTGAGAGGGTGTTGTGGGTGTCTGTGTGTTGGTGCATCTGTGTGGGTGGGTGTATTAAGGATGTGGATGTGTTGGGGTGTGTAGTGTCTGTGTGTCGATCCATCTGTGTGGGTGTGTTAAGGATGTGGATGTGTTGGGGTGTGTGAGGCGGGTGTACAGGTGTGTGTGGTGGGTGTTGGGGTGTATATCTGTGAGCGAATGGGGTGTGTGAGGGTGTTCATGGATGTTTGTGCGTGACTGTGTGTCAGGGTGGGGGTGTTTAGGGGTACCAGTGTGTGTTGGGTGGTGTAGAGGGCTACATGTCAGGATGGTGTGGGAGTGTGTGTGTTTCTATGGGTGTTTGCCTGTGTGTAAGGGCTTATAGTGTAGGATTTGTGTGTGTGTGAGTGGGATATAGGGAAGGTTCATGGAGTTTGGGGGTATAGGGACATGTGGGGTGTGTGGGGAGGTATCGGTGGCGGTGTAGTTGTGGAGATACCTGTTGCTGTGTGACTCTAGGTGTATGGTTGACACATTGGGGTGCATCCAGTACCTGTGGTGTTGCGTGAACGGAGTGTGAGGGGTGTTCAGTGGCTGTTCATGGCGGGGTGTACCTGGCTGTGGCTTGTGCGGGTGTAGGGGAACAGGTAAGTTTGTGTCGGGTGTTCGTTTGTGGGAAGGGGTCCCTCAGTGCCTATCCCCGCTGTGGCCACGCTGTGCAGAGTGTTGTTGCAGTACAGCCGCTTGCTGCGGCTGTGTCACCACAGTGTGCCACTGTACCATGGCAATGCAGCGCACAGCCAGCAAGGCATCAGTCGGGGGTACCCGGAGACGCGGCTGTGCTGCCTGCATGTAGTCGCACAGCGGAACGGTGTTGTTCAGGGGGTAGTCATCCCAAATACCACCGCTGTGCATAAATACCGGTAGTCAGGCGGTGCTGTTATGTCCGGGGTGTGCGAACACCATCAGGTGGCAGCAGGAGGTACAACCGTCAAACGTCCTTAGACTGTAGCACAGCACAGAAGACTACAGCCTCCAGAGAGGTGCAGGGGGTGACATGGCTCTGTGTGCAGAAATGACAAGTAATTTAAGCGTCAATGACAATTTTAACCCATTCCTTTGTTTCTCACTCTTCCCAGCAGTCCAGCTGACAGGATGGCCACAACCGGACTGTACAAAATGGGTGACGGAAGCAGCTATGCAACCAACTGCTTCCCTGCCAGGAACATTTTGGGCACGAGGAAAGAAGGTGACGTTTCTTTGAGCTCCACTTGGTGAGCAGAGGGAGATTGTGTCAGGCTTGGGATGGATCCGCTGCCTGTAGCAGAGCGATACTCCGGTCCGTGCCGGGGGCTTGGGAGGACTCTGCCTGCATCTTGGATACTCCCATCTTAAATAATACAGTCACGAAATATTTTATATTCTAGTGCTTCTATGTTTGAAGGGATTTAAAAATGATGGCTCTCGCTATGGGGCTGAAACCCCGAGCATGAAGGAGCCACCTCGCGAGTGTCTCCCGGGCCTCGGCCTGTCCTTGTGGCAGGGGCTGGGCACTGGCTGCTGGCACGCGGAGCACCCCGGAGCTCCCGGATCAAGCAGGGAGTCCCTGGGGAGATGCCCAAGCAGAGGAGGAAGCCCCAGAGTTTGGCAGCTGCAGAAGAGGACAACGTCCTGGACGAGCCATTTCTGGTGAGCGCAGATGTCCTGCTTCTGTCTAAACCAAGTGACAGCATTTCAAGGACCAGGGGACAGGGGGACCCTGTTGGTGGGCAGATGCTGTAGCTGCCCAAGGCCATCCCTGTGCTCCTGCCCCACCGAGATTCAAACACCAGGTGCCCATGCAGGTAGGTGTCCCACCATGAGGGAGAGACCTGCTTTGGGACTCCAACTCCTAGGAAGTCACATATGGGGTCACCAACATGGGTGGAGATGGGCTAAGCCTTTGCTTTTTTGTTTTTCCAGATGAAGCATCATTGCTTGAAGAACCCTTCGGACTTGTGCGCTGTGAATATAAGCAGCCAAAATCTGGTCTCTGTGAGTATCAGAGACTCGGGAAGCGTTAGGGAACCCACTTTAATATTAAAAAGTTTACATGTTGGCACGTGAGTGTCCAGACATGAGACAAATCCCTGTTGAAGCCCAGGCACAGGAAATCCTGTCCTGCACAAGAAGGCCAGCCCTGAAGATGCCTGGATGAACTGTCCTACAAACCTTCAGGTCGTGTCTTCATGATGGAATTACCTTGATCTTCATCAGATGTAGCCCCTTCCCCACCTACACTCGCAAAATCCTTTGCTCATGGGTGTTGTTTAACACACGGAGCTGTGTCAAATCATGGAGCAGTGAAGTTTGCTGGGACCTCGGAAGCCAGAGAGTGAGGTCAGCAGTGACATCAGGGGCCTTTGATTTGGGGCTGGACTAAGGCAAGTCTCCCAAATATCAGTAGTCACTGAATTAACTCTGCATTAGGGACAGACTCACCCAGTTGCTCTCCATAATCAAAAAAAAGCAAAGGAAATTTCCTAATTATGGAAATGCCATGAGGAAAAAAGTAAGAGAGGAGAGATCCAGTTGTTTCAAGTCAGTTCAGGGCTGGGCCTGATTGATTTTTTTTTTTATACTTTTTTTTTCAGGCTAAAGAAGAAGATTTTGAGAAATTTGACTGTGTTGCTTTTATAAATGCTGCAGAGAACCTGTTGACATTAGGTATGGGATTACATTGCCAAAAAATAGATATTGCTTTTAAATGCAGGAACATGATATAAGCGAGTTTATGCTCATCTATAATCATGGCTAGAGGTTTGCAAGGAGAGTAAAGATACAGAAATACAGCACTTCTGTGCAGAATTGCTTCCTTTCTGTTACTGAGCTGAAATCCTTGCACTTATTCCCTTTATAGTAGTGATAATTGCATGGCACCGTAGTCATCTTATTTTTCTTATTAAAATTATTATTATTAGAAGACAAATTTTCATTTGTCATTATTCATTATTAGAAAACAAAACTCTTTACAAATAAAATTTGTAATATAATATATTCATTTAATATAGAGAAGTATGAAGTAGAGCAGAGACTTGTTGCAAAGGCTCAGGAAGCTGATGGCAGAATTGGGAGGTGAATCCAAATCAGTGCCATGGGCTCAGTTAATCTGATGATGAAAAAGAGAAAGCAATAATCCAGTTTGGGGTGGAAACAAATGTGTGTGGGACAGGTTTAAATCAGATGTCTAAGGAGGAGCCTCTTGGGCCTCCTGACATCTATTGCACCCGGTCATCTAACTGAGCCTGTGTTTTCCTGCAGCACAACAACCGTTAATCCTAGTTACAGTTTTTCTTGCTGGTCTTGCTTCTTTCCAGACCGGGATAAGACACAGCTTGTTCTGTTACTGTGGTTCCTCACAGGAACATTGTCTCTTCTACCCTTGCAGAGGCTTTTCGGAAGTTTCCAGGATTGCGGGAGCTGGAACTTTCCTTGAATGGACTAAGGAATCTGAAAATTACGGCTGGAGACTTCCTGCGTTTGGAAGTAAGATGGGGGGAATCTCCTCCCTAGTGACTATATCACAGGCCTCCCCCAGGCCTTTCCTGCAGGATCCCCTATGTGGGACCCTCTCCATTCAGTCCGTCATTGCCTCCCTCCCATCTTCTGACAGCCTGGGAGAAGGCAGGGCTGGGAAGCCTGGTTGGAATTTCACAGTCATTGGATTTGGAATCTGAGCCCCTCCCAGGGCAACGCAGCCTATTTTAACAGTCCAGCTATAATCTGAGCCCCTCCCAGGGCAAAAACGCAGCCTATTTTAACAGTCCAGCTAAATTACTGCCCTCCACATGTCCCAGAAACCTCATCTTGGGAATCACCTCCTAGCATGGGCTTTCTTCCCTGGCTTCCTCGGGGCTCTTGTCCCGTGAGTCACACAGGCACGTGAGGAACCAGTCCTGAGTCCCACAGCCACCAGGGAAGTCACTGCACGTCACACACAGCATCACCCAAGGGTGGGAGGCGACACGGCCAAAAATCTAGCCCAAAAATCACTATGTGCCTGGAAAAAGCCAGCAGAGACCAGAGGAGGGTTCCAGAGGGTTCTCTCTCCTGTTTCTCTCAGGATCTGGACCTCTCATACAATAACTTATCCCCTGAGGATATCTGGATCCTGGGAGAGCTGTCCCAGCTCAAGGTCCTTCGCTTGACGGCCAACGGGCTCCGCTCGCTGCCTCCCGACCTGGCCGGCTCCTGGGAGTGAGTGGACACAGCGAGTGCTGCCGTGGCCTGGCCGGAGCGTGGCCGGCCCCCGGCCGATGGGATACGTGGGCTGGGAAGTGGGATGATGGATCCGTGGTCCTGGAAACATCGGCGTGAGGAGCCGGAGCCCGTGGTGCGAGGAGCCTCCTGGTAGATCCCGTTCAGATGTGGCTGGTGTGGCTTCCTCCTGCCTGGTGCTGCCACTGACCTGAAGTCCCGAGCTAGGACCACGGTCACCCAGGACGCCTACTATCATTGACATGGCTGGGGCACCCTGCTTGGTGGCCCAGGCATGTGAGCAGAGTGCTGGTTATTCATCATTAATGGGAGCCTTCACAGGCAGTGTAACCAGAACCACTAGTCCAAAACCCCAAGTGGGACCTGTCCAGCCTGGAGAGGAGCAGCCTGAGAGGGATGTGACCAACATGGACAAGGACCTGAGGGGAGAGTGTGAGGAGGACGGGGCCAAACTCTCCTGGGTGGTGGCCGGTCACAGGACAAGGGGGGCCGGGGCCAAGCTGAAGCCCAGGCATCTCCATGTCCATGTGAGGAAGAACTTCCTTGGTGTGAGGGTGCCGGAGCCCTGGCACAGGCTGCCCAGAGAGGCTGTGGAGTCTCCTGCTCTGGAGATCTCCAACCCGCCTGGATGCGCCTGGATGCCCCGTGCTCTGGGTGTCCCTGCTGGAGCAGGGGCTGCCCGGGGGGATCCCGAGAGGGCCCTGCCAACCCTCAGCCCTCCTGGGATTCTGGGATCTGCTCTCGACCACAGCTGGAGATGAGGTGCTGGGCTACATGGTCCTTTGGACTGATCTAGTCCAGCTGTCTCTAAGTAGGACATCAGCTTTATTTTTAAAAAAGGAAAGAAACCCCCCCAGCCCGGTCTCCCAGTGGATTGAGCAGATCCATCTGCCCCACGTGGCAGCACGTGATGTGTTTTTCCTCACGCCAGCCCTTGCTGGAGCACGTTATTAACGAGTCCCTGTGTGTTTGCAGCTCCGCTCGCTCGAGGTTTCCGTCTCTCGAGGTCCTGCTGCTGGATGACAACGGCCTGTCGGGGCCGAGCGTCTTCGCCAGCCTCGCCGGACTCTGCAGGTGAGGCCGCCCCGGCACCTGCCACGATTGAACCACAAACAGGATTCAAAGGAATGACAAAACCTTTGCGATTCGCTCGGATGTTTCCCCGTTTGGTCTCCCTGGTTCTGAAAGCAGCAACAGCCTGCTGTCCAATGTAGCCTGGCCAGAAGCTGCAGGTGGCTGGGAATTCAGGGGACTAAGGGTCTGGGGTGAGGAAGAGCAGTTGCTTTCTCCATTTTTTTGCTTCTCTGGCCTGAATTTGTCCTTCTTTTCAGTGCAGCAGCATTGGGAAATGCTGTGAATCAGCTGCCTGTTTAGCAGGAGCTTTAGTGCTTCAGCCAAGAAGGGTCATTAGGAAGGAGGTGGCCAACGTGCCCCTCGGCCAGGCTGCAGCACCGAGAGCTTCTCCATTTACTTTGGGCCTCTCCTGGTGCTGTGACCCGGGGGTGGCAACTGGCTCTGGATGGGGGCCTGGGCTTTGCTGTGTGGGTCCTGGGCTCTGCACAGGACTGAGATTTCATGTGTCGGGAGGAGAGCGGGGAAAGAGGCAGCGGGAATTCGTGGATGCCTTCCTGCTGTGAATCCTCACATCTGGTCCCTTCCTTTCCCGACAGCCTGAGGCAGCTGAACCTGGACAGGAAGAAGATTTCGGCTGTGCCCTACCTGCAGCAAGCAGAGAGCAGCCGCTTCTTCCTGCACCCGGCGCTGGACGGCAGCGGCTTCAGGGGCGAGGGGGACCAGGCCCGCG